CCCCTGAGGGGTCCCGACCCCCAGTTTGAGAACCCCTGCCATAGGCAAATCAGCTCCTTGTAGGGCCAGACTTGTAGTTTTGGTTGATGGTCATTCACTCCTGTTGTTTTAAATGCAAGAAACTGTTTCGATGCAAACGGTTGGTGTGGAACTTTCACACACACTGGTTATGGTTCCCGTGGTAACTGTAACTGCTACACTGCACCTAACTTTTATTCCTTACCATATATAACTTTAGAGAACACCAGGCAAGGGGCCTGAATAGAGTTGCGGTGGCTAACTTTGACTTTCGTGAGTTTTCCGTGTGTAACCTTTCATCCATAAAGTCACAGTGAGGTGATTGTTTTTCATTATTTTTTTCAGAGGGATTAAGAATTAAAAAGAATGAAACTTCACTTTACCCTGGGCTAAGAATTGAGAACACGTCAGCACATGTGGGTTTTACTAGGTGAGTCTGCAAAGTTCAGTCCTGGGATGAGAGCCCCCTAGCAACTTTAACTCAGTCATCTGTAATTGTTGCTTTAAGAGAGACAGATAAGGAGGCAGTCTTCCTAACAGTAACATAGTTTCCTTATCACTATGAAGCAAGGTCTTATCAGGAACTCAGCTTGGAAAGATGTTGCAAGTAACTCCTCTGAAATATACACAGACATACATTGTCTGTTATCCTCTGCTCTCCTTCGGCTGGCACTATGGAAAATGCTAGCAACCAATGAGTTAACTGGCAGCCTGTTGACTTTTAAAGGTTCTGTTCCGCTGAATAACATTTCTCATCCTCATCCTCGTCTGGGAGATGTTCCCTGTAAATAGAGAGAATTCTTGTAACATGCTAAGTGAAAAAATGAAGTGAGAGGAAATTTGAGTCATCTTCCTGTGCTGTTTAACTGGCAGCTTATGACTAATAAACCCCCCATTGGTGTTCGTGTATTGGAATCACACTCATCTACCCTTTTCTGAGCATACCAAGCATGACGAAGGTGGCTGTCTTTCAGCGGCCAGGACATATGGTTAAGGAAGTAGGAGCCTGGGGTTCTGTTCCTAGCGCTGCCATTGGCTCATGCTCCGATCTTCAGCAAAGTCACGTAACCTCTTGTTGCTTCCGTTTCCTCAGCTGTAAAAACAGTTGGAGATCTAAAATGAAAATGCCTCATTGCAAGGTGAACTCCGATAAGAAGTTGGCAGGTCTCTTGAAACACCAATGAGCACAATCTCTCCAGGATAAAAGAGGCAGAAAGACTGGATTAGATTAATGCCATGTACCCATAGGGTAACCAGATGTCCTGATTTTATAGGGACAGTCCCGATTTTGGGGTCTTTTTCTTATATAGGCTCCTATTAACCCCCACCCCCTATCCCGATTTTTCACACTTGCTGTCTGGTCACCCTATGTACCCTGCTACCACTTAATATGATGTTGGAGCTGGTAAAGTAGGGAGTGAGGGTGGGGATGGGGTCTGTGTTGGAGAGAGAAGTAGGAGAAAAGTTATATGAAGATGTGGTAAATTCACAGTAGCCCTAATGGTGTCAAGAGGGAGAATAAAAGAGGGATTATTTAAAACTCAGGAGCATGAAATAATTTCATGGCAGTTCTTCGTGGGCAGTGTTCCCCTCCTGTGTCTCATTTGCCCAGTTAAAATAATATTATATCATGACTTCAGGGCGAAGTTTTGGCTGAGCAAGGACAGCAGCATCCAGTCCAATGATACTGTGCACTTTCAAAGTCCCGTGCAAACCCAAATTGTGAAAATGTTCCAAGTCTCTCTTTTCCTTTAAAACGCCTGTGTTAACATGCAGAGCTGGCTGGCCACTTCCCAGCAATATACTCTAGGAAGACACCCAATATCTATTGCTTCACCAGGCACAAATGCACACCCCTCTGCTCTTGAAAACTCACCTGAGTTGTGGTCCAGGCCCTTCAGAGACAGAATGACAGAAGCAGCAGCACTGAGGGAGGAAACTGTAGTTCAAGCAGGAATAATCATTTAGCGAAAGTTCTATGTCCTGTGTTATGCAGGAGATCAAACAGGATGATCACAGCGGTCCTTTTCTGGCCTCTGAACCTATGAGCATTCTATGTACCACCATCCATCACAGCATCTCCTCGTGGCAAACAAGCTAGACCCAAAGCGCTGAACCGGGCAGAGTTACTGCAGGAAACGTGCCCAGAGGAAAGTTCTGCATCTTTGCTCTCCACCACTGTCAATGATGTGGACCACCAGAGGGCAGAATTGTCTCAGAAACCAAGCAAGCCAGAGCCGCCCCCATCCCCCTTACCATTTCCTCTAGTCTGCCTGGCTGCTGTCACTTTCCTGTGCCTGTCTGATTGTTCTCTGCTGAGCTCCCTGTTCTGTCTGAGCTGTGTCTTTGGCCTTTGTGTGTTTCACTGAGTTGATGTTTAGCCGTAAGGAAGATGGTGGGCTGAGGACATTGTCAGGTTTGCAATGTGTAATGCATCTCAGTCCCCTAGGCAGGTGCTTGTACCTCTTAGTGAAGGGGAGAGCAGGGGTGAGAACTCCCTCCCCATGCATGTGTTGGGGTGGGAGTTCCAGGCAATGCTGTATTGGCCAATGGGATTCTTGTGAAATTATTCGCTTCCTCCCCCCAGCTCTAAGGGACATTGGCTTTGTTTTCTTTTAATTTAACTTCCCTGATAGCAGCCTGGCCTAAAGGAATGAGTGCAGGGCCTGAGCTGTGGTCCTGGTTCTGCCCCGACTCACTCAGCCACATGGCCTCTCTGAGCCTCAGTATGCCCATCTGTGAAATGGATAGCACTACCCCCTGTAATCCTCTCAGGTAGGGTTGAATGGCTTCCAGTCATGCAGCATGGATTGGGGAGTAAGCGATTCCAGAATCTCCTGCATCCCTGACAAACCTGTGAGGATACTTTACCCCTAATTTCATCCTATTCTCAAGTCTACTGTCCAACCCCCATCCCCACTTGCCCCTTGCACTACTGTCACTTGTTATTACAGCTGGCCAGCAGCAGGGCAGCCCCATGGCCCACAGTAACCTCCATGGATACTACCAGGAGAGTAGCGGTATTCTGGTGAATAGAATAGGTGGCAATGGGAGTCAGGAGACCTGGCCATTGTCCTCACTGCCACTGACCTTGCTTGTGCCTCAGTTTCCCCATCTGTAAAATGGAGATAAAGTACTCTGAGACGTCCAATAAAGGGGCTCTATAAATGCAAAGAATCATTATTACGTGAACACGCTTGGGGAACGTGGCACGTTCAGGGTTAAAGAAAACAGCCTGCAGGATGAAATTTCCATTGGTTTGTTCCAGTTCTCTCCAGCCAGGCTATGAGGGGAAATGCTTTATGCGATGTTTTATGGCCAAGGGAGGGAGCGCTTTTGTCAGGGAAGGGAAGCCAGAAATGATTGAGGACGTATTAAAAGCTGAAACTGCCAGATCCACCAATCACACCAAGGGGCTGATTCCAGTGGAAAAAGAAAACAGCAAACGCAGGGAGGGGAAAACAATGGCAAAGAGCTGAGATGGGGGTGCTTCACTTCTTTCAATTTGGGTAACAGGGCTACCCCTTCCCCAGCAGCAGCTATGGACTCCATACCCGGCAAAGGCAGCCTGTGTTAAGCCAGCCCATGCACCCTCAGCACTTTCTTTTCCCTAAAGATCAGGCCCCACTGACTTCAAAATGGGCAATATTTCCATTGACTTCGATGGGGCCAGGATTTGCCCCAGGAGTGCAAGTATGTGAAAGGTTAGAGGATGGAGGGAATTATTTAGGGTGCTCCAAATGAGACCATAGTGACAGGGTGCTATGCACATACCCAGGGAGGACTAGCGGATAGGTACTCCGCGGGGTTTTATGCAGCCTGTTGCAGAAGCCATGTGGAGTTCCTGATTGAGCGCCCGGGGCTGTCGGTCAGTTTCAGAACTTCCAGCCAGATTTGGGTTAACATAGTGTATAAGGAAAGCTGAACGGTCACAGTGAATTACTGTCCCCTCCATGCTAGGGCCTTGGGGTTACTCTATGTTACTGTCAACCATAGTATAAGGAACATGGATTCATTTTGCTAAGGAAACTTGAATGAAGGTTATAGTCTTTTCTTCCACATAATCAGTGAAATTAAGACTAGAGCCCTGACATCTGTCTTCCTTGACGTAGGCCTAAAGCATCCGAGTTGCGGGGTAGCTGCTAACCTTTGGGTCACTGCAGTGAAAATGGAACTTACAGGAGATCAATGACATTCCAAGTGCATAAATCACACAGTCTCCAAAATGTCCTCGTAACACAAAATCAAAACACTCTCTGCATTGGCAGAATTACGGACGCCCCTGGGCCATGTGCACACACCGAAGATGCACTTAAATCAACACAAAACCATTGTGGGGGGACACAAAGCTGGGTTTAAAATCGATTCTCTTGGGTGAGCTTGTGCCTGTAAATTTGCCAGCAGAACTAAGTGAAACAGCTGGGAGCTAGGTTTAAATCAAATTCAAAATGTCCACACTGGAGTTTGCACTGGTTTAACTAAACATGTTTCAAATTGCACCTTTTAATTACACCTCATCAGACCCACCACCACCGCCCTCCTCACTCAAACAAAACAACACATCACCATGCCCATGACCCCCAGGGGTACACAAATTCCACCACCACTACCAAGCCATCTGGCCATCACTTCTATGATTTTCAGCCCCGTCCCCAGCATAATGCAACCACCCTGCCACATTCCCACTAAACCCAAGATGCGGTAGCATCAATGCACCTTTTGACTCATCTCAGACAGGCATATGGAGTAAGACTTGAAAACTAATGGCCTGATCTAAGGCCTACTGAAATCAATGAGAGTCTTTCCACTGACTTCGGTGGGCTTAGGATTAAGCCCTTCCTGAGCGTCACACCATCACTACTAAATCATTGTCATCCCACATCCACTTCCACCGCCACCAACTGCTTATCCTAGGGATGAATCAATCCTTTTGAGTGTACATGTGTGAACGACAGTGTCACATGGACGTGCGGCTGCCTCTATATTATTATTGTATGGTCATAGACCAGGACTCCATTGTGTTAGGTGCTGTACAAAAGGATTGTCACTGTCCCAAAGAGCTTGTGTGTATATAATTGGGTGGGGCAGGCTGATTTTTGTGGTTGTGTACGTTATGTCTCTCATGTCTGTGTGTGTAGCTCTAAGGCTTTGTCTACACTAGCACTTTTGTCGGTAAAACTTTTGTCGGCCAGGGATGTGAAAAAACCACACTCCCAACGGACATAAGTTTCACCGACAAAAGAGCTGGCATGGACAGCGCTACATCGGCAGGGGAGGTTCTCCTGCCAACATAGCTAACACCGCTCGTTGGGGGTGGTTTAATTATACCAGCAGGAGAGCTCTCTCCCAGCGACAAAGAGCAACTCCAAAGCAGTTTAGCTGTGCCGCAGTAAGGTTTGTAGGGCAGACATAGAATCATAGAATCATAGAA